TCTCTTTAATCATTTTGTTGTATCTGTTTTAATTTGTTGTGCCCTCTTTTATATGTGTTTTTGACCGAATGGTGTTTTGAGCTTAGGCCGAATTGGGGAAATTGGTTTTTTAATGGGTTTGTGTTAAAGCTTATATTTTCTTTTTTTACTTTTTATTTTTTTTTATTAATCGTCGAACATGTAATTGCACTCAATTTTTCCATCTTTGAAAAATACTATTTTATTAAAATTATTTATAGTCTTTGTGGACTTTTTTTGGCTTGAATATAGAGATACCATGAATAATTATTAAAAAAAAATAAGGAAGAAAGGAAGATTGTAGAGGAACTAGAAAATAGTTTCTTAGTTATATTTAGTTTATCGGTTCTGTATATAGATCCATCATTCCTTTTTTGTGATTCAAATTCAGTTTTATTAACTTAGTATTATCTTACTATTCTACATGTCTTGTCTTTAACAGGTGCAAGGTATGCATTCTGAGGTAGCAGCTTTGAGAAATCCTAGTTTATGGTGTGAGGCATCGCGTATTATCAATGAAGAAGGGTTTAGAGCGTTTTGGAAAGGCAATATGGTGACCATTGCTCATCGTCTTCCTTATTCTGCGGTCAATTTCTATGCTTATGAACGCTACAAGAATGTAATCACTGGTGTTCTTTCTATACTGTAAGTGCTTCAGAAGTTATGGCAGCTGTTATTATGTGACTTGAATTAATATTGTTATCTGGTTGTTTGTAGCTATGGCATGCAATGATGGTGGAGAGGTTAGGGGAAATTCAAGTGCACACACCCTTGTGCACTTTTTGGGTGGTTTGGCAGGTATAACAGATGAATTTGCCACATTTCCTTTGGATCTTGTGAGGACACGACTTGCTGCACAGGTAACTTGATGTTTATGTGAGTTGAGAGAGAACCATCAGAGATACTTCTCTAACCATTTTTTTCATGGCATGAGGGCTTGGATATAATTTACATTTGGTTGATTGAGCTGAATCCCATTTGTCATTATTTTCTGTTTACTCTTACCAGTTTATTGAAGACGTATTTTTTTCCTTTGCAGAGAAGTACCATGTACTACCGAGGCATCTCACATGCTTTCAGTACCATCTGTAGAGACGAAGGGTTTCTTGGGTTTGTACAAGGGGCTTGGAGCAACATTGTTGGTATATTCACAATGTGCTTTTACTCTATTTTTATCATGCCATGTTCTTATTATTGACATAGCTTATCATTTTCTTCGATGCAGGGTGTTGGGCCAAGTATAGCTATTAGTTTTTCTGTTTATGAGTGGTTACGATCTGTATGGCAATCACAAAGGTGAATTTCTTTGTGTGAAATTTCAGAGTAGTTTATCCTGAAGGTTACCTTGTTCAAGATGAAATATGATTTTGCAAATGTTAACTAATTTTCTATTTCTTCCAAATATAGGCCTGATGATTCTACTGCTGTGGTTGGTCTTGCCTGTGGCAGTCTGTCTGGTATTGCATCATCAACAGGTGGGTTCGCACTAATCTGAGTAATTGAGCATAACTTTCTTAAGTTTTCATGAATGATATTGCAGAACATGAAATTCATTAATTTGAAAATTTTCCTGTTATTTTTAGTTCTTATTAACCTGTTACATTCTTGTAAACAATACCTTTCTCATCAGGCTTAAACTAGTCCAATATATTATTATAATTGGAAAGCTATCACTCTTGAAATACTTGAAAGTGAAGTCTCATTTCTTCTCTGTGATCAAGTAGATGATTGGGGTGCGGTGTAATCATTTTGCAAACTTTGCTTGGAATAACCGTTCAATTACCTGTCTCTAGTACCTAACAGGCTATATTAGTTTGTCTTATATGCCTGCTTTATTTCTTACTACGGTATAGCATGTCATGGGTATACACTACTTTCCCCTTTGTAGTGTAAGCTGATCTGTCTCCCATGAACATCGGTTTGCTAAAGAACTGTTTTCATTGAAAGAATGTGCTCAAGTAATGCCTTTCCATGACAGGAGTTTACCAGTTAGAAAGTTGTCAGTTTAAAAATTCCAATGGTTTTGACATATCTAAGTTTTTTGTGTTGCTTTGTCTCATGCAACTGGCAGCAACATTTCTTTGGATGATTGTGTTAGGCGTCGGACTTTATAGGGATGTTAGAGATGCAATTAGAGGGTGCTGGTGGTCGAGCTCGTGTCTATAACACTGGCGTGTTTGGTGCATTTGGGCGCATAATTCAAACCGAAGGGGTTCGAGGTTTGTACAGAGGAATTCTGCCTGAGTACTATAAGGTTGTTCCGAGTGTGGGCATTGTCTTTATGACGTATGAAACACTGAAAATGCTTTTATCAGGAATTTCTAATTATTAGCATACTAAATTTCCAAATTTGCACCATATAACATCTTGGGTTAGGTAATTGAAAAGACACTTATCAGAGGGCGGGATCTCTGAGAGATTGATATCATAATGAATCTTTCTAGGCAGTTTGGTTGAGGTGATTTTTTCCTGTTAATAATGCAGCATTTTTGTTTGTATACGTAGTTATATTTCAGTAACAGCATATACCAACATTCAATGTTAGGTTGAAACATTTGGTAGTGATAATTTATCAGCAAAACAGTTATATTTTAATGGTGCAATTGTGTTGTTAGTACAAGTAGAGGAAACGTGGAAAGCTTGTCGTTAGTAATTAAATATAAGACTTTTTTTCTAATTCTGGTTTATAGTATCATTAATGTGATGTTTAATTTTACGTTTGGTCTTTTAAAAATTAATGTTAGGAATGTCTCCAAAATTTCTAGTAAAAACATGATGTGCATTTAACAACAACAGTAGTAAGTAATTCATGACGGGATGTATAATAATGAGCTTTGATAATATAATATATATATCTATATATAGATATATATATATATATATATAAGTATATATATTATATATATATATATATAGATAGATATAGATAGATATAGATAGATAGATAAATTGATATACACTGACACATACGTGTCAAGCAAAATAGACATATATGAACATATATGGCTATGCGTGTGTAATGTTTAACATTAACAGATTTTAATATTTTTGGTCTCAAAATTATATTCATTCATTAATAAAGATTAAAGATGAAAGGATTCAAAGGTTAGGATAAAGATGAAATTTAATTTTATATAAAAAGTTCAACAACTAAAACATATTTACTTAATCATAAAAAATTTTAATTTAAATTATACATTTCACAATATATATTACAAATATTTATGACTCGTCAAATTTAGAATAGTTTTTTAAAAAGAACTATTCTTTAAGGTTAATTGTTTTGTTCTTTTATAAAAGTAGTTATAATATAGTTGTGGATATTTTTTATTTTTGTGTTGGTTATATGATAGTAACCACTTCAAGATAGGTTGGATTAATACATAAAGAGATGTTATGATGAGGATGAAGGTGTGAAAGCTATGGAGGAAGAGGGGTAAGGTCATGGGCTTGGTGCTTGTATGATGATGAGGTGGTGGTTTGATGATACTCTTAGAGAGGTTAGGTCAACTCTAGAGAAAAGTGATTATAGAAAATCACATGGGATGCTCTAGTCTTGATAACATTAAGATGATTATTATGGCACAAAAATGATAGCATAACATTCAAAATTAACGGTAATTTAACAAGAGGAGGAAGACACCTATATATATATAGTTTAATGGTGTCTCAACATTGTAGGACGCTAGGACCGAAAAACCCAAAAACATCGACTAAGCTGGATAATAAGTGGGTGAAAAATTCTTTGTAAGGAAAACATGTGACAAAAATCCTCTTCATTAGAAGGAGGACATGTAGCCACTACTTATGGGAAAATCCTCTACAATTATGAGCATGACACATGATAACTTTTACAAAAGGTTGGACAACCACTCCTTACTCTTAGACATTCCACTTCGTCAACATGGGGTCTTGGCCGTGTTGGAATTAAGTTGATGGAAACCTAATAGGAAAGTCCATTTTAAGGAGTACCAGCTTAAGCTAAGGTTAAGAAAGGAAAGTTAAAGAAGGAAGTTTAAAGGCTCTTTCTTGATTTTCTTTCAAGTCTTAGAAGAATTCTCTTTTAATACTTATATTGTTGTGTTGTAGAGTCTAATAAGGTTAGAAGATCATGGATCAACCAACCAAGAAGCTTGATAAACCAAAGGAAGTGAAGGAACCAAGCTAGGAAGAAAAATGAGTGAATTTTGGATTTAGCAACATGGCTTCTGAATTAGACTCATGAAGGATTTTGTCTTCCAGATTCAGATTTCGCCCAGCCAAAACTACTACGCACCCAGCCATTGCAAGTGGCATTTTTCATGTGCTAACTTGGTTGTCCATGTGAGCATGCCTGGCTTATGTGCTTCGACAACTGGCCTTCCCAGCTAGTTTCATTTGAATTTTTGGAGGGAATTCGCCAGAGATTAGAGGCTCCTCTTCACCTATAAATAAGAGAGCCTCTCCATTGTTAAAATCACTTGTATTGTATTTAAATCCTCTCTGCGAGAGTAATAGTCTGAACGACTTGTAAGTAATCTTTGATTACAGTTCTGGAGAGAATTAAAACACTTGCAACTAAACTCTTTTGAGTTGAGCAAATCTAGGCACGGTAGTCTATAAAAAGGAGTGGTGCGAATATTCAGACCAAGAGTGGTGAGAATACTTAGTTGTAATCTTGTGAAGATTGTAGTGGAATACTCTTCGGAAGGGATTGGACATAACTCAGTTGGAGTGAATAATATAAAAATAACTGTGCATTTATCTCTTCTCTCACCTAAACACTTCTCTTATAAAAACCCGCAACTGTGTTTTTATTTCCAAATACAAGAACTTCCCGAGTTAAATCATTACTCTTCAACTAATGAAGTTCTTATAAAACTCTACAGTGTACATTCTGAATAGGACGTTAAAAGTAATTATTGTTTACATCTTATACTAAGTTGAGCGTCTAAGCTTCCATAAGATACATTAAGAACTTAACTACGTGCAGTATCAAAAGGGTTGCGAAAAGAGTTTTTCCAAAAAACACTATTAACCCCCCTCCCCCCACCCTTTCCAATGACTACTGTACACAAAGAAGGCAAAAACACAATAATCAAGGTGAACGCTAACAGACATTTATTCAAGGAGCCTTTAAATAGAAGATCTTTTGAAAGAGAAATAAAGAGGATAACCAAGAGAATAAGAAAACTCACAACGAGATATCTATCTTGAGAAACGTATAAAACAGAAGGAAAGAAAGAGCTAAAGAGAAAGATCGTATTTGAGCAGAAAAAGAGAAGAAGAGGAAAGAGAAGAAAAGAAAAGAAAAGAAATACTCTCAAGCTTCATTGTTGTATTGCTTATTGATTTTAAGAAAGAGAAAGAAAAAAGAGAGAAACACTTGTGAATGTTTATACTTCTTTATATTGTATTCAAATCCTCTCTGTGAGAGTAATAGTCTAAATAACTTGTAAGCAATCTTTGATTCCAGTTTTGGAGAGAATTAAAACTCTTGTAACTAAACTCTTTTGAGTTGAGGAAATCTAGGCAAGGTAGTCTAGGACCAGGAGTGGTGCGAATACTCAGACCAGGAGTGGTGAGAATACTCAGTTGTAATCTTGTGAAGATTGTAGTGGAACCCTCTTCGAAGGGACTGAACATAGTTCAGTTGGAGTGAACAATATAAAAATAACAGTGCATTTATCTTTTCTCTCACCTAAATGCTTCTCTTATAAAAATCTACAAATGTTTTTTTATTTCCAAATACATGAACTCCCCGAGCTAAATGATTACTCTTCAACTAAGGAAGTTCTTTTAAAACTCTACAGTGTACATTCTGAATAGCACATTAAAAGTAACTATCGTTTACATCTTATACTAAGTCGAGCGTCTAAGCTTCCATAAGATACATTAAGAGCTTAACTACATGCTATATCAGAAAGGTTGCGCAAAAAGAGTTTTTCCAAACACACATTAAGAGGATGGGTTTGAGTGCCAGTTCTAATGAATGAGTGGTATGGTAGGGTAGAGGGGATAGACCACAAGTGTTTTTGGTAACCTGTTTGTGTGTGATGTGAATGTGGTTGACTTTGTGGATTGAGGATGAATAGTTGAATATTGCGGATGTGTGCGATTATTGTGTATTATCTTGTATTGTTTTCTATTAGCTCACCCTTGCATGTTGTGGTTGTGGTATCGACCTACGATGATCGTTTTTATATGAGAACAAATGATGTTACAAATGATGTTGGTACTGTGTAGAGTTAGGATATGCATGAGAATTTTTGAAATGTTTTTGAGAAAGTAAAAGTGTTTATGTTTAGAATTTTTTAACATTCTAGGTTGCAATTGAATTAATTGTTATTTCCGTATGATTTTAATTATTTTCATGATAATGAAATAAAATTTTTAATTTTCCACTATTTTGTGGTGGTAGCAGAAGTCATTTTTTCCTTAACTTAATTAATTACATGTGACACCTTAAATTGATGTGTTACATTCAAGATGCTACCTTCAAATTTAGTCAAAATCCCAAAAGAATCCACCAACCAAATCTGATTTCAAGCACCAAAGAGACAAAAAATGAAAGCAACAAAAGCACAATTAAGGCAATTAATTAAGTAAGTAGTCAAATTGAATCCTTAAAGAAATGTGCTAGAAAAAGATGATTAAAACCAAAATAAAACTAAGAATACACGTCCAAACAATGTAGCAAATTCAAAACACTTGCTGCAAAATGCAAACTGCACCAAAAATCCAAGTTCAAAATGAGTTCTCTTGTTGTGTTCTTTTTCTTTTGGTATTTTTTTTTTTTTACTTTTTTTGTCCCTTTTCTTTTCTTCTTTTGCTTTGTTTTGTATAGAGGGAACTTTTTATTTTCTCAATATAATTTCCAGAACATAACAATCATCATATTTCTTTCACAACTCATACCCACAATCAAGGCTAAAAGAAGTAGTGTATATAGGAAATCCTAAGGAATCAATTAATAGTTTGACAATAGAAAAATAACTCAATGGAAACCTAACACTAAGAACATGTTTAGGAACTAAAAGCAAGCATGAATTACACATAAAACTCAAACAAACCTAGAAAACCGAGAACAACCCAAGGACGAAAATTACTGCTTGGAACAAACAACACCCTAACGTTGAATTTTGTATGGAACTAGCTTCAACGTTTTAGATTTCTTTTTCATGTTTTAACAAAGATGTGATGACATGGATTCACAAGACTCTAGAAAAAACAATAGGATCATAAAATCAAAGAAAATGACTCAAAACATGACATAATACCCAAAACTCTGCACATATTCAAATAGAAAAACGAAAATCCTAAGCACACAACATATAATGATTCAATAAAAAAATAGTTTGAATAAACATTTAAAGACATACAAAACACATTCATGGATCAAACAACATACTAGACATG